GACATTCTCCAAATTCATTCGGGCATTGCGACAGTGCGTACCAGATATCAGGCATCATCCCAGAAAGATCCTCCATACGCTAAAATCAAATAATGAAGCTGAGAACACGCTGAAGGGAGTCTCCAGATCCAAGAACGCATGGGCGGATAGTCCCAGTGCGGCAAATTTTGCGGACTCAGCAATTCAGACGAGGAAGGAGACGCAAAAGCACGTAAGGCAAAGTTTAGGAAACTGTATTCGTGAGACAGATGACGTTTGCGAGAACATCCTGTTTGATGCCCAGTATGATTGTCAAAGCGTAATCACACGACATCAACGAGGCATTATGCTGGCGTAGCAACCACGCTATTAGACCACAAATCTGGACAAAGCAGTAGCACCGGGCCCAGAGCTCCAGGCGAGACCTAACCAATGTTTCCTCCTGGGAAAAGCCCTGTAGGGATCCTGGATTCCTCAGGTTCACCGCCACAACTTGGCCGTTCGTGAGCCACTTCAGCCACAGGTGGCTTGTGCGTTATCGTGTTGATCGGCGATCCGCAAAGAACTATTGGTCATAAGCGGAATGGATGGTAGATCTGTCTCAAGTCGTCAAGGGGGTGCTCCACGGCATCTTAACATTGCATCGTGCATGAGCGGAAAAGCAAATACAAGGATGCTCCCCAAATTGTCAATGGTACAATGCAGATCCAACAAAATCTTTCATACTGTGTCGGCTGTCGATCAAGGACCCTTCTCTTGTCCTGTTTCCTGTCATACGGATTTGACTGCTCAACTGTCCACAAGCAATACCCTAATATTGTGGCCCTGTATACTGAGCAGCAGGAGAGGCCCGAACCCTGGATTCTACTCCACTAGTTCGTTGCGGGCTGCCGGGGACCACTACAATAACAGTTCATTGAGCAAATAATAGCCACTCTAGACCACATTGTTAATATGATGATCAGCAGTCAACGATTGGTCGGAACAACTGGTGACCTCGTGGAAGCTCAGGGGATCCTGGATGGAACAGTGTAGAAAGGAGTGCAGTTCATGACAATTCACTTTCACAACAAACAAGTATGGAATGATGGCCAATGGACACGCGGCGGCTTAGTATGTGGGAGCTTGGAAGATACAGCTGCATCCAAAGATACAGCTGCATCCAATAGCGCGAATCAGCAAGGTGATGGCAAGGAAGACACATGTGGAGCAAAAGCAGAGCACAAAACCTGTAAAGAAATCTGGGTGAGGCTGAGGTGGGTACCTGTGGCTTGTGGCCAGGCCTAACCCAGAAAGAGGTGTGGCGAAGTCGCTGGCTCAGCATTGTCCCAAATTGTCCCTTCACTCGCATCACTGTGAGACATCTCTTGATTACGGAAATTGCTTCTCGGTCCAGGCTACAGCTTGAATTCAATTGGCGCAATCTTCTGATTCCGGTAAAAAACTACATTAATCCACTGACCTGACCATTCTCCGATACAAGAACGGAAAGCTTTGCGTACCGCTGTGGGAACTAGGACGTGATTCATTCTCGCCCGGTTGTGGTTGCTCCAGGTTCTGCACTCGATTGGATAGCGAGGGAGTCTAACTACTGAAAATTTCAGTCTCCGCGCTGTACACTGTTTGACGAAATGTCCAATGTCTTGGTTTCGTAGCAGCACTTCGATTGCCACTGCATGTTGACTGGTACACTATACAGTGAACAAGCATGATCCTTCTGAGAATGAGTGATGAATGCAGCTTTGCATCATCCCTTTCCAGGATTGAGTATCTCTCTGGGCCACACAAGAAAGCAAGGGAACTCCATGGACCATCCATCTTCAAGTCCAAAGTGTGAAAGCACGAGCCACCTCTTCCCCAACGCTCCACTAATACAATGGTCTACTGCTTGCGAATAGGGATGTAAAGACGACTGGCTACCGTTCGCCCGAGATTGTCGGGATCGGGATGCGTTATAGATCAAGCTTGCATGATACGCAAGGATTTGGGGATCAACTTGTGCTTCGCAATTCGATTCGGCATGCCCCCCGAAGCCAATCTGGCATGTTGACCTACCGTCCATCTCTTCTGATCGATTCCCGGGAATTCTCAGCTGCTTTAGCGCTGTGGAAACTTTATCCATGTTTATTCAATGGGGCGTTAGAGTGGCGTTGGCTCGAGGAGATGGTGCCAGCGCAAGCCCAAGAAAAACAATTATGGAGAAGGTACGACGCGACCTCTTCGAGAAAATAATAATAACGAATGAGAAGACAATTAGAGGAACAGGTGAGAAAAGGCCCAGACGGGGTTTCCACTTTCCCAAATGCCGATATTGCAGGAAGAATGAATTTTTCGCTTCACTATTATGGATTCGCAATTCATCCGAACCCAAAATCCAATAAACACCGTGACAAGCTTGCGGGCTTGCTGGCCCTTATCCAGCCTCAGCACATAACTGTAATTCCACGCAGATCCACTTTCTCGCTAATCTTGCATTTCAAGGGAGCTATTGAGATTAGCTTTTTTTTTGGTCCTTGTCTGCGGTGGCAAACCTGCTAAGACGGCATTCAGCACTGTCCTCCAATTTGGAAAGATGTTTATCATGCCCTTTGCGGAAGGATTTGATCTGCGGGAGGATTCAATCTATATGAGGCAGCACTCAACATATATGAACCACCTTCGGGAGCCCATTATTGCCCTACCTTTTGCTTGCTAATTCAAGATCGATTGTCTCTACCAATTGTCTGGTCAATCCTCTTGCTTGTGCTATGTTGGACTCCTTCTATCGTCGATCTCCCATTTCAAGCTAAAGATATAGGTCACTTGTTTTGTTGAAGTTGTACCCGAGCTGACTCAATCGAATTGCTCTGGACACACGCCGCTTTTTAACAAGGGAGGCTTGCGAAAATGGTCCAGAGCAAAGGAGGAAGTTCCCGGGGAAGCTCCAGTAGGGAGTTCGGTATCACATTTGAGATTGAGCCCCCGGCTGCTGTTCGTCCTGGGACGCCATTTACCCTGCCAGTGGTTGTGGCAGTCAGGCCCGTGGGTAATCAAGTCAACCCAGCAGTCCAGCAAATGGTTGCGCACGCATCGCTCAGGAGCGAGACAGGAGCGGCGGCTGCCACCGGACTGGCGGGGACGCTAACGTCCAGTGTACGCAGTCGAAACGGAAATACAACGAGCGGATTTGCCAAGTTCAGCCCTCTGAGCATTGCGCAGCCGGGACGCTACCGGATTCGAGTGATCCTCGGTGCTGCCTCACAGAGCGGAGTCACCACAAAGGAGTATGTCGACTCGGGGGTCATTGATGTCCATGCAGGAGCAGAAGCCGTGCAGCGCCCAAGTACGTATTGTCCTTGGATTTGCCTCTCTCACCGGCCCTTGCACATCGTGACCACGGGCTGACCGGTTCCAGCGCCTTTGCAGATATCTAAGCTCCAGGCTATGACGGCGGAAAATATCGATATAACACCGGCTGACATTGCCGCGTGGCAGAGAGCGGCATGAGCATCTCTCGAGTCACACTCAATAGTGGGACTTGTTCCACTTCACTCTTCATGAATTCAAGGGTTATCATGATTACACGACCGGACGCTTCCAAGTCGCAAACCTGATGGGGGCATATTATTGTTTACGGGTCAAGGAGTACAGCTGGAGAATTAGAATTCCGTGGTTATTCGGCTCCGGCGTTCAGCGGTTTGATTTTGCAATCAATTTTCCCTTTTGGATCGATTCCCCTCTTCTTTCCCCCCTTTGCTATCGCCCTGGAGACGTCCTGCCAGATACCCGAGCCAATATTTGTCCACTGTTTAATGATAGTTATTATTCCATAGATGGCCATAGCACACTGTAGTAGCCACTAAGTACTTGCTGATTCGTCAAACTCCCCTCGGTACTTCCGTAGTAAAATCGGTAATCCTCGGTGATTGCTTCGCCTTCAAATCCCTAACTGCAGCTGTGGAGTCACTGGAGTGTGGACTCGGCTTGGGGCACCGACTATTGACGGGACCCATCTCACGTGTGATTGCAGTAGATAGACGACGGCACAAGAACCCGGGCAATCATGAGTCATTGATTCGAATTCGAAAATGATAAAATATGCGGACAGAGTCCTGACAAATGTCGAATATCGGCCGGAAGAGCGTCACCTGCGATGCTAGACGATCGGGCACGCCTAGTGGTCGATCAGGAGGGAGCTGAGAGCTGAACCTGCTTATTCTCAATCCATGGAACGTAGAGTAGACTACTTGACGCAATTTGCCTTTAACTGTCCCCTCCTTCTGTTTTTGGAATTTTGGTACGTTTGTTAAACAGGGTGTTGACGTACTTCTCAATCTGCGGTCAGAAAACTAAGGTACTTTAGTCCAGGACGAAAGGCGCCAGACTTGGAGGCTAGGTCAAAGCCCTAAGTGCAATGGGGGGACCCTGACTACTGTTTCAAGAAAGATTATTCCGAACTTTATATTCTGAGAGTTGGAGCTGGTGGGAAGGTTGATGTTGTTTGATGAGCTTGTTTTTCTTTGGCTTTTACAGGAGTGATAGCATGATGGTCGGGCTTACTGAGCAAGGTATGCAATCCACGCACTGGGCTTTAACATTCAATTTAGCTATGATGCGATCAAATCCAGATTGCTGCTTGAATGGAATTGAAAGTACTATGCACAATCATAAAGACAATCAAGCTAGTCGTAGGTGCGCGTCGACTGAGTGACGGAACGCCGAGGAGAATACAGCCATTGTATGCTGTTTCTCATTGGCGTGTCCAGTGTTTGATGCTGCTTTGGACGGAGTAAAATCTGAGGCTTGATGCAGCTTCTTGCGGGCGGTTGACCTCGATGCTCTGTCTGTCTATGCCCAGAAAGCGATGACCGATCGAAAGAGGATACCGTTCACTGCTGGTATGTTCAAGATGCCTGCCGGTGGAGTGTCACTTGTTCACAAGGATACTGTTTGACAACAACATAGTTTTGGTGTCCATCATGCAGGACTTTCAGGTCGAGGACCAAAGAAGAGACGAAAGACGATACGAGAAATCGCGACGTTCAGCTCTCTTTTCCATGACGCAAGCGATCAACACCGTCACGGACGGTGTTCCGCAGACTGAACCCACCGAACAGCCAGTCGTTAGAGTGACGGCCGTAGTGGTTCACAGTCCCGCTGTAGCGACGATAATCGTCGCCGGTCTTTCTGGACTGAGAGCTGTATGATCCCGAGTCGCGCTTGTTGGGACCCAAAGAAGTCGGACTCGTAGACCCGATGGAAGACATTGCGGTAGGGCTTGTTGAACGTCGAGGGATATTGTCACAAGAGGTAGGGACGCTTCTAGGAATGATGTCTCCGTAGCTGTCGGATGTGGAGCGACGAGTACGATTTACTGGTAGCTCTGACCCAATTGCGGCAGGCGACTTTGAGCACGAGCGGAATATTCTTGCGCTGGACGGGAAGGAGAGTCTGTGGGAGGATTGGCGGAGAGTTCCAGTGGCGTTGTCGCTTTGAGAGGAATTAGATGAGGAGACAGTGGTCGTGTGAGAAAGTGGACGATGGATATTGCTTTGCTCGATTTCAGCGGGACCAGCACGGTGCTGATCTTTCATATTCGAGTAAGATTTGAAAAATCGTGTAAGGTCTTTACGCGGAGTTGGGACTTGGAACTTGGTGAAGAAGACCAAGAATAAAGTCTGACCAGAGTCGCGGACCGATGGTCATATTTATGTCCTTCAGCTCCAGCATCCACTTCCTCTTACACTCAACATCGTTATCTTCTCCACCCTCCATCATCCAATCACCGAGGCATGAGGACGGGACTGACATTTCCTGGGGCACGGGGGTCCCTTCTCCCATTGACGAATCAAGAGCTGCCAACGATTCTGAGTCGGTGAGACTTTCGGCTGGCCCCACTCCCTCTGCCCTACAAGGTTGACGAAGAGCCAATCACAGCTTCGACACATGCAGATTGATCCCTGTGAAGGGCCAAATTCACCGCTTCTGCCTGATGGCCTGAATCATCAACAACAACATTGTCACCTGGCACCTGTTCTCAACCTTAAAAGAATGAAAAAGATAGAAAGTGCCAAAACATTGGATACGACACGTATCACTTCGACTTTCAATGATCGAGCTTTTGCTCGAATCCTCTTCTGGAATGAACCATCTCTCCGTCGTCATTCTCTTTCACTTTCCACCATGTCAAAGAAATCCTCTGAGAATTCCGAAGCTGAGACCCGCCCAGAGTGGTAGGGGCTTAGGGTGGTTCTAGCGTGCTTCGAGAAGGATATCGGGCAGCTCAAGTGGTCCAATCACATCACCTGGTCCCCCAGAGGGGATGAATCTCGCATTGTAACTGGTCAAATAGAGGAGGAGCCTATCATGATGCCATGCATTAGTGTAGGAATTAGCCCAGGACGACTGGGTGACTTCTAGGTAGCAACATTTCTCGACTGAAGGGAGTAGCCCAGCTGTCTGACACGTTTCAGCGTCTGACTCGATTGACCATGGGACCTATCTCAAGTCCTGAAACTATAACACACGATTACTGCTGCCACTATTCTGTGTCTACTTCCAAGTGCTGAGCAACCGCCAAGCACGGACGTGCGAACAAGGAAACCAACGTCTCCACAGCTGAGGCTCCTAACAGCGCGCTACTTGGTAATTTCCCCTCATATGACATCACCTGATCGCCTGCCAGGGTAAATCAAAATGTTTCTCCTCGGCACGTTCGTTCCGATCATTTTCTCTGGGGAACAAAGATACCAATACGCTATCAGGAACTAAGCGAGAGTCACCTGGGTTGGATTGTATTAGTCAATTTCCTGCGAGGGATCAACCACGCTCATCTGACCTCGTGCTTGATGTCTTTCCCTGCAATGCCACTCTGCTCCTGCAACTCAGCGGCATATCCATCTCTGCAATGTGTCCTTCCATGATGCACATCTAGTCGTAGTGGATAATGGTGCGCAGCCAATGTAATACAGAGCAGTGTTTTACCATTGAATCCACAGCTATGGTCTCCTGAATGTTGTGATCTGATTCAAAGTCAACTAACGAGGTGCCTCATCGCAGATGATTATATGAGAATTCCTTCCGAGCATTAGCCGAGAGAGAAGTTGAACCTTCAAGGCCAAGCTTTGTATCCCGGCGCAGCTGTTCTGGTTGGCGTCTCTTGCTTGTAGACATTCGGGACATATTGCAGCTGTGGGTTGTCTCATCCAAAGGTCCAAAGTTAATGAGAGGTGTCTTCTGCAGCGTGGACCATAATCTCAGGTCAGAATACGTTACTGCTGTGGTTGGGTCTTGTAGGACCGGAAAGGCGTCATTGAAGGTTTGGAGGCCAACAGAGGCAATATCAGTGTTTACGCATATAAAATACCTGCATATACTATCATAGCAGTGAGAATATATACTGCCTATGAGCTGAACATTGCAGTAACTCACATAAGTTAAGACTAAGATATCGGCTTTATATCAGTGTAGAACAACTCCCCGGCAACCATGTTTGAGAAGTAGCTATGCTTAGCAAAGGGTTGAGTTTCACAAATATCCAAGTTGTTGACAGAACTCGAGCCCCGGAATGCAGATGAGCCATCAAGACGGGCGAAGCAACAACACCAAACGCCAGGAGAATCCAAAATGCCAGCAGTCACTCCTCCAAAAGCGTCCACAGACTCGCACTCGGCGCCCTCCACGACCGCGGCTGCTCCGAATGACACCTCCGATGGTTTCTCTCAACCGCCAAGTAATCAGAATCATCGGTGGTTGTTGTAGGTCTTCCCCGATCAGCGAACATGTCAGCCGGCTGTGTCGCAGCCGTTTGAGGCACCCAGAGCGAGACCACCACCTGTTTTCCAGGCGAAGTAGTTGTAGGCAAAACGAACAGCGATCGAGCCTTATCCAGCGGCGGACGGATCATCCTCCGTAGCGAGCCTGTGCCACCGCTCATAGTAGAACTCCTCTGAGAGGGAGTATGATGTGGGACGGCGTGCTTCGATGCAAACCATCGGTGGGACCGCGTCGTCTTCGTCCGCACGATACCGGCAGACGCAGCATCGTCTTCCGGTAGATCTTCAGAGACTATGGGCGCCAGGTAGTGTTCTTCGAGCTCCGCGAGCGTCGAAGGATCTAGTGCGCTCGAATTCCGGGCGATTCTTCTCTCACGCAGCTGCGCTGCTGGACTGCCAAAGGGCCAGGAATGGCGTCTTCGGTGGTGACGCAGGTGTGGCATGTTAGAGAGACAAGTAAACAAAGACTATATTTCCCGTACAGCGATCAACGCTATGCTTCCTATGCAGAAGACGTTCCGGAAGAAATGAAATGAGGAATGGACCAAGTATCTACCTCCTTAACGAGAGACAAAAAATCGCCACCCAGATTCTCCCAGTAATATCACAGAAGCAAAATGGCCAGATTTCTATCTTCAGCCTTCAGCCTGCCCGCATCTCTGAATTTAAAGAGCTCCGCCCTCTGGAAATGATCATGAGGCCACCACGTGAACGGCGCACGCGTCAGAAGGCGTGAGCAGAGAGCTCGCCTGGTGACTGATTTAAAGAGAACATAAATCCAGTCTACTATAGCCTGGGGCAAGCTCTATGACTGTTTAGTATCGTCAGGACAATCTTGATTCGTGATCACAGGGCGCAGAGTGCCCCCGAATTGAGTCACGGAACGGGTAGGCAGCAGGGGCCCGGATCTTGCAGACTGACGATCATCTGTGGCTTACAGAACAGCGTCCTGAGTGGCAGGCGACTGTCCGAATGCAGACGATATTCAGGACAGATGGAGTTTCAGATTTGGTGACATCCTGAGAAGCTGACCTATGTCCTGGAGCTATATCAGTAGTTGATGGGCCAGCTTGCTGGATGTGGTCCTGGAGTCCATTTTGGCTTGCGACCGCAGGCGTAGTACAGTCAGCGGATGATGGAAGGGACAAGAGTCGTTCGATCTCATCACACGTGCTGATTCGAATATGAAAACAAGAAATTTTTCAACAGAATGGAACAATGGTTCCTCTATACCTAAGGCTTAGAAATTATAATATCAATGATCCTCCAACAAGAACCAGTCACGTGGTCTAATGGTTATGATTTCTCGTTCACAATCGAAAGTGAGCATCTTCAAGGATTCCGAGAAGGTTCCCGGTTCGATCCCGGGCGTGACTACTTTTTTGTTTTTACATCTTGCGATGAAGCAACGGCTTGTAGAGAGTAACATATCTACGAACACCTCTTGGTCTAAAACATCGTCAGTACACGGACGTTTCTGAAGAGTAGTCTGATATAGACATGGCGGGACTGGTGCGGGGATTGCTTAGGCGCTCTTTGTCTGGACTTAGCCTACCCTTGAAAGCTTGAAGGCTTCAAGATATTTAGAGACGCAACTGAAGCCTAGAGTCGATCGACAATCAGCAAGGGAAGCATTATCGATGCCGTCAATTAACCCACAGATGAATACCATGATGGTGAAAATAGTTCAAGATCAACGAAAAAAGTGGAGATGATCTCCGTGATACCATGTCTGCCTAAGGCATATTGTATTCATGCGGGGCTAGTGTTTTCAAAACTCAGGGGTTTGTTCAATTGTTCTCTCTGGACCCGCTCTTCAATCTATCTACAAGACAGGACTGCCTCAATGTGATCTTTCAGAAAAAGGCTCTGCTCGCTTGTAAAACCGTCCCATTAATCTACAGCCTGCACTTTATTTCGTTCTACAATCAACTCCACCTCAAGTGACCTACAGTGGCAGACGAGAGCTATGGCTTCCACCATTCCTTTTACTCTCGACGTCCCGACATTACTCTGCATCAGCTTTACTCTATCGTTCATGCCTATCGCCTACTTGCTTGGCAGATCACTGATACCGTCTTCTCAAACGCGCAACCGGATACTCTTTTACTGGCACGCCTACGATGCCCTGACCCACATCTTCATCGAAGGATCGTTCCTGTACGAGTGCTTTTACAGCTACGCCACGCTCCCCGCCGGGGTCAGCAAAGAGCCATACTTCCTAGGCCACAAGGACCGTGTGTATGGTGCAGCCTACGGAACGGGCCCAAGTGCTCGGCTATGGCAGGAATACGCAAAAGCAGACCGTCGCTGGGCCGTCGCAGACGCTCCCACCATCTCTATTGAACTGTTAACCGTGTTACTCGGCGGCCCAGCTGCCGTCTATGTGTGCTACCTGCTGTGGAAAGCATCGAGCAGCCGGTCGACTGCGTCGGCAAAGGGCGCAGCTAAGGCGAAATTGTGGCTGGTTGCACCCGCGCTGGCGACGGCTGAGCTGTACGGGGGTTTTATGACGTTCGCGCCTGAATGGCTGACTGGGAGTTCCCAGCTGGATACCAGCAATCCTGTGTACCTCTGGTTTTACCTCTTCTTCTTCAACACCTTGTGGGTGTGGATTCCTCTCTGGGTCCTCTGGGAGGCTGCGAAAGAGCTGCGAGCAGCTTTTGTGACTGCTGAGAAGGCTGATGAGGGTCGGAAGACCAAATGATCGTCTACTTTGATCTTGGACAAATGCAAGGAATACGGAGTACATGAGCAGCAATGAGACGAAGGGCATTAATTTGATACTTATTTGGTACATATATCCAGTTATAGTCCCC